CTGCACAACGCAGACTGCATTACGTAGACTGCACCACGTCAAGTGCGCGCGCACCAAACACATTGCACCACGAACATGGTACCATATATATATATATATATGTAGTTCCACGCAAACTGATCAACATGTTATGCTCCAAATAGATCTTGCGCAGCATCGTTTGCACCGCACCTGTTGCACAAGAGAGATTGCACAACATATATTGCGCAACGTAGATTGCACATCGATTCTACTCTCCCCGGGGTGTCCTGTTCCCCTTTTCGCATTGTGATGTGCATGCGTTTCTGCCCCATCGTCCATCCGACATACGAACTCATAACATCCCAGCCCACCCGGTATCGACACCCCCCCGTCATCCTTTACGAAAAATACTATGCGCGCGCATTCGTTTATCAAACACCAGTTTTCAAACATCCATTGCAGCAGATGGGACGAAGTGCACACGCGCGCGTCGTCGCGCGCGTATGCTGAAATCTTTCAAAAACCCCAGGTTTCGGAAGGATTTCAAATTCGAGCGTCCAAGAAACATATAAAAACAAATGGGTTCGCAACACGGATGTTCAAAAAAAGCTCGCGCGCGCGCTTTTGTGAGCTGAACTTCTATTAAAGCCATTGTTCTTCAACACTTTCAGAAAAAGCTACCAAAAGGGTTTCACGCACACGCATGTCGAAATCGTTCGAACGCTCTTTGCGCGCGCGTTGTCGCGATTCTCATTTGCAAACAACGGGACGAAGTGCACGCAAGCGCGTCGTCGTATGCGCATGGCGAAATCCGTCAAACACCCTAGGTTTCACAAGGATTTCAAAACCGAGTGCCGCCACACCATATCACAAGCACATGGCTTCGCAACAACAGTGTTCAAACAAGCCTGAGTTCGCGCTCTTACGAACTCTGAAGAAACCAGAAGGCTTCCAACATTTTCATTGAATTCTGCCAAATGGGTCTCTCGCGCCGCATGCCGAACTCATTCGAACGCCACTGCGCGCGTGCTGGGGGACACGATCCGTGTCAAATATACCATGCGGCCCGTTCTCGCGCCTCGGCCGCGCGCGCATGTCTACCCCCATCCAAACCTTTCATCACCGACGCGAGGACGCCTTCATCGTCGCCAGCGTGATTAGCATTGGCGCCGTCACTTGCCGTGCCGTCGTCGTTGTCAACCATCATCGCTATTATCATCATCGTGTCTACTGTTGTCGACGTTGCCATGATACCGCCAATACAGAACAATGCAAAGCAAGGCAAAGCAATGCAAAAGCAATGTAACGCACCGCGAAGCAATGAAAAGCAATTCAAAGCAATGACCAGCAGTGAACTATATTGCACGCGGGCGGCCGACGGGGCGGCGACGGACGGCGACAAGCGCGGAGGCCGGTAGCCAGGCCTAGAAACAGTGGCGACGGACGGCGGCGACGGGCGGCGACGTCGACAACAAGCGAGGCCACCGGCATCCTGGCCGAGACGCAGCGGAGACGAACGGCGTCGACGGGGCGGCGGCGGCGGCGACAAAAAGCGAGCCGACCGACAGCCAGGCCCAGAAGCAGTGGCGACGGCGACGGCGACGCGGCGGCGACGGCGACGGCAAGCGCGGCGACCGACAGCCAGGCCAAGAAGCAGCGGCGACGGCGGCGGTGACGGGGCGGCGACCGCGGCGACGACATACCTGCTGGACCAGAAGCCAGGCCCAGTTCCTCAGGGCCCTAAGTGAAAACACAGTTTGGGTAATATCCACACGTGTACGTGAATGTATACGTCTACATCTACATATATAGATATATGCGACTGCGCCATCTCAGTGTCGCGTCGCGATATGAGCTAGCGAGGAGGGTGAGTATGAGGAGGAGGAGGACGAACAACAATAATAATAACAATAATAATGATGCAAATATTAATAACAATTATAATACTAATGATACTAGTAATAATAATACTAAGAATATCAATAATACTTATACTATTAATACTAGTAATAATAATACTATTAATAATAATACTACTAGTAATAATACTACTTATACTATTAATAATACTAATCATAATATTAACACTACTACGGATGATAATAATAAAAATAACAAACAGCATAATAATGATAATAATAATATTAGTAATACTAATAATAATGATAATGATAATAATAATAATGATAATAATAATAATGATAATAATATTGATACTACTACTACTACTACTACTACTACTACTACTACTACTACTACTATTACTACTACTAATACTACTACTAATAATAATAATAATGATAATAGTAGTAATAGTAATACTAATAATAATAGTAATACGAATAATAGACTAATAATAGTCAGAAGAAATAGGAGGAGGAGGAGGAGGAGGAGGAGGAGGAGGAGGAGGAGGAGGAGGAGGAGGAGGAGGAGGAGGAGGGAGAGGAGGGAGGTGGAGGAGGAGGAGGAGGTGGACGAGGAGGTGGAGGAGGAACTGGGAGGAGGAGGAGGAGGAGGAGGAGGAGGAGGAGGAGGAGGAGGAGGAGGAGGCTGGTTGAAAGGGGCCGTCATTCGGGCCCCATCCACCTCCGCGCCCTCGTTCTCCTTGCCGCCTACAGCCTGCCTCGCTCGCGCGTGGCAGCCCGGGCGCGCCCGCGCGAACGGCCGCGCGCGATGGGCAGCGCCAGCTGCCCGCCTCCAGCCCCGCAGGCGCCGATCTGCGTCTCGCCAGCCTCCGGCGAGCGCGCGGCGGCGCCGGGGCTGGCCGCGGCCCAGGGGCTCGCCGCGGAGCTGCTGGCGAGGCTCGTGCTGTGGGGGCTCCTGCCGGCGAGCTGCGCCGCACGCTCGCTGCTTGCGGCGGCGCGGCTCGCGCGCCTGCGCAGTCTCTGCGCGGGGCCGGCGGGCGGGGCCGCTCCAGCCCGGCTGGAGCTCTCGGGCTGCGTGGCGGACTCCGATGTCGGCCGCTTGGTCGTGGCCGTCGAGGAGCTGCGCCGCGGCGGCGCCGTGGAGGCGCTGTCGCTGCTGCACTGCGGCCGCCTGACCGGCTCGGGCTTCGCCCCGCTGGCGGCTACGCTGGTGCGCCCGGGCGGCCTGCGGATGCTGGACCTTGCGGGCTCGCGGGCGCTGGGCGATACCGCCGCGGGGGCGCTCGCCGAGGCGCTGGCGGCCGCGCCAGGCGAACCGCTGCGGCACCTGGGGCTGCGCGAGTGCGGCTTGACCGCCGCTGGGGTGCAGGCGCTCGGTCTTTCTCGCTGTTCGCCGGCGGACGTCCCCGAGATCTCCGCCATGGGGCTCTTCGAGGCGGCTGGCGCCGTGGCCGCCGCGCCGCTGGCCGACGGCTCCGATGTGGTCTGGATGCGCGGGCTCGAGGCCTTGCAGCTCTCAGGCAACGCGCTCGGCGGCGGCGGCCGCGCGCTGGCGATGCTGGTGCGCGAGTCGCCCTGCCTGCTCGCGCTGGGCCTGGAGGCCTGCGGTCTGCTCGCAGACGACGTGCAGCAGCTGGCGCGGGTGCTGGCGCGCTCCGGGCTCGCGCGGCTGGACCTCGCAGACAACGCGCTCGGGGCGAGGGGCGTGCGGGCGCTGGCGAGCGGCCTTCGCCTCTCGCAGGTCAAGGACCTCGGGCTGGAGAGGAACGCCATCGGCCCCAGCGACGGCCTGGAGGAGCTGAAGGCCGCGCACGACCGGCGCCCGTTCCCCTCCCTGCGCCTGGGCGGGAACCGGCTCTCGCGCGCGCAGCAGGCCGCCTTTCTCGCCTCGCTGCGCGCCGTGCCGCACGCCGGGGCGCGCCGCCGCGGGGGCCTGGGCTTCTGCCCCCCGGGCTGCACCTGCTTCGAGGGCCGCGGGGAGGTGATGTGACGCGCGTGATGAGTCCAGCGGGGGCGCGGCGGGCGCGCGCGGCAGCGGGCGCAGATGCCCCGCTGCGCCCTCGGTTGCTCGCCAGCGGTGTGGCATCTCTCCTTCACCCCCAGCAGCGCCGCCCCCGTCCCCGGGAGGTGCCTTGGCCCGAGCTTGCCCCTGCCGCGTGGAGGCAGGTCCTCACCGCGATTTGACTCGCGGTGCCAGCTGAGGGGCGAGATGTGCGTGGCTTGTCGCAGGGTGTGCTCGTTGCAGGGACAGGTCAGGGATGGAGGGATGGGGGAGGTAGGGGAAGGGAGAAGCGAGGAGGAGGAGGAGGAGGAGGCGGAGGAGGAGGAGTGGTGAGGAAGGTGGTGGAGGAGGGGGTAGGACGGATGAGGGAGGAGGATGGGGAGGAGGTGGAGGAGATGGTGGAGGAGCAAAGGGGAGAAGGAGGAGATGGAGGAAGAGGGAGGGGAGGACAACTGAGGCTTTGATGTCGTGAGCCTTGTTGTGGCCCCCGAGGGCCTTCGTGGGCCCTTGGGGATTCTCCCGAGAGCTCTGGACCTTCAGAGGGAGGGGGGCAGGAAAAGGGGAGGGGGGTGATGATGCCACGGGCTCCAGCCGATGTCACGCCGAAAATGCGAGGAGTGAGGGGGGACGGGCATCCTCCTCCCTCCCCTCCCTTCCTTCCTCCCTCCCTCATCCCCTTTCTTCTCTCCCTCCCCTCCCTCCATCCTCCGCCTGCCCAGCGTCCTCGAGCTCGTCGTCGTCGTGGTCGTCGTCGTCGTCGTGGTCGTCGTGGTCGTCGTCGTCGACAGCGTGATCGTCGTCGTCGCCGTCGTCGTCGTCGTCGTCGTCGTCGTCGTCGTCGATTATCACCGTCGTCGTGGGTCGTGGGTCGTTGTCGTCGTGGGTCGTGGTCGTCGTGGTGGGTCTCTGTTGTCGTCGCCGTCCCGGTGGGCCGTTGGCCATCACCGTCATGGATCGTCGTCCTCGTGCGTCGCTGCCGTCGTGGGTAGTCAGCTGGTATCGTCGTCGTCGTCGTCGTCGTCGTGGTCGTCGTCGTCGTCGTCGTGGTCGTCGTCGTGGGTCGTCCTGTGTGGTCCTCGCCGTCGCCGCCGCTGCCGTGCTCGTGGCTCGACGCGGCCGCCCCGGCCGGCCTCGGCCCAGCCGCCCGCCTGCGGGCCGCCCCATCGCCGCAGGGTCAAGACGGGCACGGGGCGGCTCCGCACGCGGAGCATACCGGTGCGCGCACCCGCTCGCCGCCCGCCCCCTCCTCCTCCTCCTCCTCCTCCTTTCCTCCTCCTCCTCTTCCTCCTCCTCCTCCTCCTTCTCCTCCTTCTCCTCCTCCTCCTCCTCCTCCTCCTCCTCCTCTTCCTGCTCCTCCTCCTCCTTTCCTCCTCTTCCTCCTCCTCCTCCTCCTTGCCCTCTCCTCCTCTTCTTCCTCCTCCTCCTCCTTTCCTCCTCCTCTTCCTGCTCTTCCTCTTCCTCCTCCTCCTCCTCCTCCTCCTCCTATCCTCCTCCTCCTCCTCCTTTCCTTCCTCCTCCTCTCCTCCTCTCCTCCTCCTCTTCCTGCTCCTCCTCCTCCTCCTCCTCCTTTCCTCCTCTTCCTCCTCATCCTCCTTCTTCTCCTTGCCCTCTCTTCCTCTTCTCCCTCCTCCTCCTCCTCCTCCTTTCCTCCTCCTCCTCCTCCTCCTCCTCCTCCTCCTCCTCCTCCTCCTCCCACTCCTCCTCCTCCTCCTCCTCCTCAGAGAGGGGGCCACGAGGGAGATGGGTCCCGAGGCTTGTCGCGGACTGTGTTTCAGCGGCGAGCTCGGGGGGGGAAGCGAGGAGGGGCAGGCCTGCTCGGGAGGTGGCGTCCCTGGCTCCGCCTCGGCCTCCTTCTCCTCCACCTCCTCATCGTTTCTCTCTTTACCTCCCCTCCCCTCCCTCCCTCCCCTACCTTTCCCTGCTGTCTCTTCTCCATTGTTGTTGCTTCTCGCCCTGCTCATCTTTGATCTTCTTTCCTCAATTGTCTGCCCTTCCCTTGCTGGCCAGAGTCGCTCCTCTTCTTCCTCCTCCTCCTCTTCCTCCTCCTTCTCACCCCCTCGAGCTGCCCCCGAGGTCCAGCGCTGCGGCTCCTTCCCCTTCTCCTCCTCCTCCTCCTCCTCCTCATCCTACTACTCGTTCTTCTCCTCCTCCTCCTCCTCCTCCTCCTCCTCCTCCTCCTGTTCCTCTTCTTCCTCCTCCTCCTCCTCCTCTCCTTACTCTTTTTCTTCTTCTTCTTCTTCAGATTTGTTGTTATTCTTCGTCCTCTTCCTCTTCCTCCTCCTCCTCCAGGGCGCCCAGAGATGCTGCCCCCCCGCGGCTTGCGCCGGCTTCCTTCCCCCCCCCCTCCCTTCTCCCCGGGCGCAGTCCTCCTCCTCCTCCTCCTCCTCCTCCTCCTCCTCCTCCCACTCCTCCGGTGCGAGAAATATATCCGTATCCGCGGTTTCGTGGGCTGGCCTTCTGGGCTGCGACCCCTTACTGGGCATCTTTCTCGCAGATGCCCCGCGCGGAACGTATCCGTGCGACCCCGTATTTGCGGGAGCGCGCTCAGGAATCCAGACCCCGAGTGCGCGGATACGGATATGTACGCCGCTCGTGACATCCTACTGGGAATCCTTCTTGGCTTCCTCCTTCCTCGTATTTTCCTCATCCCCTCCAGTCGCCCCCCAAAAAAATTGATCGCGTGGCCCCTGGCCTCCTCTCGCTGCGACTACAATTCAAGGACCAGGGTCTGATTCGACGCTTGAATCGGCGAATAGCACACTGAGGAGGGATGGGAAGGATGGGTGCGCAGTAGGATGTCAAGTTTGTCGCATGCACATCTGGCTTGCCTCTCTTCTCTCCTCTCCTTTCTTTCCTCTCCCCCTGCTTCTGATCCTTCTCCTCTAGTTATCATCCTCTAGTGCGAAGGCCTTGCGTCCAGTGGCGCCGACCCTGAAGACGACGAATGTGAAAACGATGGGGAGAAGAAGCAGGAGGAGGAGAAGGAGGAGGAGGAGGCAGAGGAGGAGCAAGAGGAGTGGGAGCAAGGGGAGGAGGAGGAGGAGGAGGAGGAGGAGGAGGAGGAGGAGGAGGAGGAGGAGGAGGGAGGAGGAGGACAGGAGGAGCAGGAGGAGGAGGAGGAGGAGCAGGAGGAGGAGGAGGAGGAGGAGGAGGAGGGAAGAGGAGGAGGAGGAGGAGGAGGAGGAGGAGGAGGAGGACAGGGGAGCAGGAGGAGGAGGAGGAGGAGGAGGAGGAGGAGGAGGAGGAGGAAGAGGAGCAGGAGGAGGAGGAGGAGGAGGAGGAGGAAGAAGAAGAGGAGGAGGGGGCCGTATTGGCGCCTTTTGGGCCTCTTGGGTTCCTCTTGGGGGCCTCTTGGGGCTCTCCTGGGGCCTTTGGGGGTCCTCTTGGGGCCTCCTGGGAGCTTTTTGGGGCGGAAGGCTCGGATTTTTGGTTCGGGCTCCCCGTCTTGGGCCCTTTTTGGGGCCCTCTGCGGCCGTGCTGGGCGCCTCTTGGGAGCCTCTTGGGCCGTCTTGAGGCTTTCTTGGGGGCCTCTTGAACCGTCTTCAACGCCGTGAACGCCGAAATCTCGTATATGCTAGAAGTGTACGTTTTCCTATGGAAAATCAACGAGAGTGGCCTCTTGGGGCCTTCTTGGGGATGCTCTTGGAGATTTCCTGGGACGTTTTGGAAGCTTCTTGGACCGTCTTGGGGCCATCTTGGGCGTCTTGTTCCGATCTTTGGGCGACTCGGGGCCCTGTTGGGCCATTTTGGGGGCCGTCCTGAGCATTCTAGGCTCCTTCTGGGACTTTTCCAGGTTTCGGGGCCGCCCGAGGGGGAAACGAATCTGGGTGGCGACCCCCCCGGGACCCCCCCGGGACCCCCCCCTCCCCCGCGGGGAAGGGATCAAAGGGAAGGGGCTTCCCTTCGATTCCACTACGACGTTGTTCAATTTCGCTTTGGATGGCGCGCTTGAGGAGGAGGGCCCAGGGAAAGGGACGGGGGACGACGGAGACGGCGAGGAGACGACTGTGATGACGACGGAGACGACGAGGAGACGACGGAGACGACGATTCGAACGGAGAAGCCCCTCACACACGCCGACAGGGTCGGCGGATTTCCTTTCCGGATTTTCGTTATGATGCTCATCCTACTCCTTCCTCCGAAGTATCGGTATCATCATCGTTGTCATCATCACCATCATCATTCACCACCATCTCTCCTCTTCCTCTCTTCATCTTTCCTCTCTCCTCTTTGTCGTTGTCGTCTTACGTCTCTCTTCGTCATCGCCATCCTCGTCCCCTCGTCGTCGTCGTTGTCGTCTTCTCATCTCCTTCCTTTCCTCATCCTCTTACGTTTCCTCCCCTCCCTCTCTCCCTGTGTCCTCTCTATCCCCTCTTCTGCTCCTCTCCATCTCCGCCAACTTCCTCCCCCCTCTACTCTCCCCTCCCTCTTCCTATCTTGTCCTCATTCTCTCCTCTAGGCTGTGCTCCTCATCCTCGCCATCATCATTATTCTCCCTCGGCCCCGCCGGCTCACTCACGGGATCTGATCTCGAAGGTGGCACAGAGGAAACAGCGGATGCGTCGTCTATTCGTCCCTCCTCCTCCGCCTCCTCCGCGAGCGGACGCCTGGGGCGCTTCTGGACGCCGTCTTGTGACGTGCGGGGGGGTCCCTCGATCCCCACATGGGGCTCCCTGGGGCCGTCTTGGGAAGTGCCGGAGCCAAGCTCGGGCCTTCTTCGGGTCACCGTCGAGGACGCCCGTGGACATTCTGGGGCCCGGGGGCTGGGAAGCCGCACGCATCCGAAAACTAGTCACAGTGTCTGTACGTTTTGAGCTGTCCGTGACAAATCTCGGCGGCGAGCGAGGGGGGGAAGTGAGAAGGAGACGGCCATCTCAGAAGGCGGCGGGACCTCTCAGAAGCCCCCGCGCGTTTGAGAAGTTTTCGGTGACTTCGGGGGAGGCGCAGAAAACTTCCCAGAGGGCCGGGAGACTTCCGAGCCTTCTGAGAAGGCTCGCCCCCCTTCTTACTTCCCCCCTGGGCCTGCCGCCGAAAATCAGCATCAAACTCCAGGCTCCTTTCACCGCGCAGTGACGGAGGTTGATAGACCTCCTACCCTGACACGGCGATTAGAGAATTGGCCGTTTTCGGTTCGCGAGAGGGCGTCGCAGCCGTCATTTTTGCGGGTCCAGGTCCGTCGGTTTCGGCCCTAGGCCGTCTTCACTAAAGGGAGGTTTTTTCTAAAGGGAAGTTTGCCCACCGCCGATCGTGAGCAAATCACGACAGAAAGGTCTCGGGTCGCTCTCGGCCCACGGCGGCTTTCTCACCGGGCCCCGGGGGCCGTCGAGCAGCGGTGCGGGATGAGCCGCTGGTCCCGGAGACGTTGTCGGGGCCACGGGGGTCCACGTTGGGGGACAGAGTCCGAAAGTCCGGGTCCGGGTCTTTCTCCTTTGGGATGAAATCTTTGGAAACTGGAGCATCTACATTACCAGTAGCGTTTTCTTTCTTTGTTTTTCAATCCCACGACTTTTTGAGGGTCGGGGACGACGTTGGGGTGGTGTGGTGTATACTTCTCCCCCGTTTTCCAAGGGCAACAAGGAAAGATGTATACACCAGGATCCTGTATACACCAGGATCCGCGTTCCTGTGCGAATTTCAGCGCAGGGTCGGAAACAGCGTCGGTATATAGAGCTCGTTTCCCTTAATCTTGCTCAAACGTATTCGAAGACATTAGGGTACCCCTCAGGAACAAATCTGGAGCCTCCGACGAAGTCACGCGAACACTTTGAGAGCCTTCGAACACCTCCCCGAGTTTGATCGGATGGCAAATTTGGGAAGCTTCAGAAACGTGTAAAAACAATCAGACGGCATCAGAACAACAGTGACAAACACATGATGTTTCAGGAAACTTTGACGTCCTACGAATACACCCGAAAGCTTCCCAGGATTATTGGCAACACCAAGACAAAGTAACACATCAGAAAACACGCAAACAACTCACAAACACTTTCAGACTAACTTCAGAAGCTTCAGACAACCTACGAGTAGTTTCAACATCTGTCGAAACCTCACACCTATCTTTCCCTCCCCTGTCGAATATTACCCCTGGACTTTTGTCTATTGGCGCGGCCACACTTTGAGGCGGGTCCAGCCGTGGTGATGAAGATGCCCCCCGAGGTCCAGAAAATACCAAAAACGAACCTCGCCCATCGATCCGCTTCGTCATCCTCCTCATCATCCTCCTCCTACTCCTCCTCCTCCATTCTTCTCCCCTGCCCTCTCTCTCCGCAACGAAGTAATGAAATAACGGACAAACCAGACAGCAGCGTTTTACCGTGCGTTATCATCATGCCCCTTCTCGTCCTCCTCCTCCCTCCTTCCCCTCGTCCCCATCGTCTTCCTCTTCCTGGCCCTCCTTTTACGGTGCGTCATCATCATGCCCCCCCTCTCGCCTCTCTCCTCCCCCCTTCCCCTCGTCCCAATCCGCCTCTTCCAGGCCCTACTCCACCTCCTCCTCCTCCTCCTCCTCCTCCTCCTCCTCCTCCTCATCATCCGCCTCCTCCTCCTCCTCCTCCGCCCCGTTCCTCCTTCCTGTTCCGAAGACGGCGACGACCGCGGCCGCACAGTTCCGCGTGGCCCTGCTCTGCCCGATCATCTCGATGATGCTCGCGTGCCTGGGCACCTTCGTGCCCCTCGTTGGCTTCACCAAAGTCACGCAGCAGGATGACGGCGCACGACCCACACCTCCTCGCGCCGTGACGTCGATCAAGGCAGACGTTTTTTTTTCCATGTCGTCTGTCTCTGGGTGCTCTTCGTCTGGCCCTGTGACTGGCAGGCAGCGAGTCGGGGGTGAGAAGCTGGTCCCGGAGAAGTGGTCGAGACCTCGTGGGGTCCACGGTGAGAAAAAAAACGCGAGGGCGGTGGGGTGGACGACCGCCTTCTTGGCCCTCCTGCTTTTTCCTTCTCATTCTCTTCCTCCCCCCGTTCCTCCTCCTCGCTTCTCTCCCCGCTCCCCTCTCTTCCTTGTCGACGTCGTCCTCTTCCTCCTCCTCCTCCTCCTCCTTCTCCTCCTCCTCCTCCTCCCCCTCCTCCTCCGTTCTTCCTCCTCCTCTTCCTCGCTTCCTCGTCCCCCTCCTCGCTTCTTATCCCGCCGTCTTCCTCTTCGTCGTTGTCCTCCTTATCTTCTTCCTCTTCCTTTGCTTCGAGGTAGAAGGTTTCAGGTTCGAGGTCAGAGGTTCGAGGTTGGAGGCTCGATCGGGCTTCCAGGTCATAGCTTCGAGGCTCGAGGACGGAGGTCCGAGGATCGAGGCCTGAGGATTGAGGTGTTATAGATGGGGGGTGCGAGGTTTCAGGCTCCAGGAGCGAGGTGTGGGGTCCTAGGCTCGAGAGCCGATGCTCCAGGATGGCGGACCAGGGTGCGTGGATGACGGACCGACGTTCGAGGCTCTCCTTGTCCTTCTCTCCCTGAGAGGGGCGGGCCGGAGCCCCATCTGATGCCTTCTCAGGCCGCCTCGCCCGACGGACTCTGTGACCGACCGCGCTCATACCCTCATGCCGCCGCGCCCCTGGCGTCCTCAGGACCCCGGCCTCCCACGCCCGTTCCTCCTCCTCCGCCTCCTCCGCCTCCTCCGCCTCCTCCGCCTCCTCCGCCTCCTCCTCCTCCCCTCCTCCTCCTCCTCCTCCCTCCTCCCTCCTCCTCCTCCTCCTCCTCATCCTCCCCTCCCCTCCCCTCCCCCCTCCCCCTCTCCTCCTCCGTCTCCGCCTCTCGGCCTCCTCCGCCTCCTCCTCCTCCGCCTCTCCCTCCTCCACGGGCACCACGGGCACCAGGGCCCCCCGTCAGCTCCTCTTCGCCGTCGCGGCCAGGTGCACGCCGCACCTCCGCTGCGCCCGGCGGGGCAGCGTTCGTTGTGGTGTTGCGCGGTGCTCCTGTGGGGGGGGGGGAGTGCAGTCAAGACGCTGCAAGAAGGACCGCTTTGGGATCAAGAGGGGCTCGGATCTCGGGCCGCTCCTCGGATTCGCGCCGTGATGCGTTTTGTTTGGCCCGATGCGGCCCGCGGTGGCCAGAACAGCCCCTTCGCTTCTTGCCATGCGCTCGCTGTGGCAGCACGACGAGTGGACGAGAACATGAACAAATGGCTGCGTCACGACCAGTTGCCTCCCCGGGGCTACCCTGCGGCTCCGGTTTCATCTGAAACGGCGGGACCGTCGTCGGCCTTTCCAGGAGGAGGAGGAGGAGGAGGAGGAGGAGGAGGAGGAGGAGGAGGAGGAGGAGGAGGAGGAGGAGGAGGAGGAGGAGGAGGAGGAGGTGGCCAGCGAGGCCTGGGCGCCACCCGCCGCTTTCCGCCGGGCGCGCGCGGCCGCGACATCCCGCTGCTGCGGGTCTTGGGCTCGCCACCGCAGGTCAGCCCTGTGCCCGCTTCCGCGGCGCGTCGCCCTCGCGCCAGGGTGGGAGGAGGAGGGGGAGGAGGAGGGGGAGGAGGAGGAGGAGGAGGAGGAGAAGGAGGAGGAGGAGGAGGAGGAGAGGAGGAGGAGGGGGAGGAGGAGGGAGGAGGAGGAGGAGGAGGAGGAGGAGGAGGAGGAGGAGGAGGGGAGGAGGAGGAGGAGGAGGAGGAGGAGGAGGAGGAGGAGGAGGAGCCGCAAATGGACCCCTTCTGTGACGAGCTCCTGCGCGTCGCTCCAAGACCTGGGCGGGCCGCCGGAGTGGGTGCCTTCGAGTGCGCGGGGGTCGACGAGTTGCTCGCTCCAAGACGTGGCGCGGAGTGGGCAACTTGCGGGGGAATGACAGGACTGTGTCCACCTTGACCGAGCCCTGCCGATGCAAGTCCGGCCCAGCGACGTGTTGATTTGGCGGATTTGCTTCAGCCAGGCCCACTCCGACGTCGTCCGGAAGCACTTCGCAGACGCCCGTGGCGATTTCGAGGCGGACGCGGAGCTCCCGGCAAGTTGTCGCATCCTCATCTCGTCCTCATCTTTCATCTTTACATCATCCCCATCTCATCCTTATCTCATCCTCATCTCATCCCCATCGCCTTTTCATCGGAAGTCTGATCCGCCCCTCACCGCGTGGCCGCCCTGGCTCGAGCAGGCGCGTTGTCCGAGGGAGGTGCCCTCCGAATCGGCCGCGCAGGGCTCTGAAGAGGAGCGTTCTGCCAGGGAAGGCCGCTCCTCCTCAGGAGCCTCCGACTACTCCGCGTTCCCCCCCGCACTCTCCTCGCCCAGGCCGCTGGGCGACGGCGCCAGCTCTGACGCTGGGGGCGGCAGGTCGGGCTCTGACCCCGCGGCGGAAGGAGCAGCTGAGACAGCCGCAGGGGAGGACTCCGCCGCTCCCGCAGACGAGCTCGCCCCAGCGGGGGAGGACTCAGCCGCAACTCTCGGCTCGTCCACTGCTGCATCCGAGGACGTCGCCCCCTCGTCGTCTGAATCAGACCCTGGCATCGGTAGGCCATCTTAGCTGACTGCGGCGGCGTTCGCTTGAGCCAGCAATGGCAGCCGCGGCGGGTCCCCCCCGTCGGAGTGGAAGGCAGATTCACCGCGGCGGTCGTGGCCCCTAGTGTGAGGCCCGAACTGGAAGTTCTGGCAATCCTGGCCCCAGGCGTGAGACCAGAGCTTGAAGTTCTGGCAATCAGGAGGAGTGACGAGGAGGGAGGGGCGAGGTCGAATGCAAGGACGAGGGAAAGACGAGGATCAATCTTGGAGGAGCGACGAAGAGGACTCTGGAGGTCTCTGACGGTGGAGGAGGAGGACGAGGACGAACAGTAAGGTTTAATGAAAAAGCATAGTACTGAGAAGAAAAGAAACTGTGGAGGAGGTGGTGATGGTCATTGACCTGGTTGGGAACACCGCGCGGAAATGGTTTCGAGCTCTCTCCACTCACGACTCACACGCGACGTTGCGAGTTGTCCCTTGACGCCGGATCTCGAGCCCAGCGGCTCCAGATGGAGTCGTTCGAGCGTGCAGGAAACAGGGTCCAGAGTCGCCTGGCTGCCCTTCCTCCGCCCTCCTCTTTCAGGTGTTCCTCGAAGGTTTAATTATTCGACGCGTCAGTCGTTTTGCCACTCGCGCTTCGGCGTGTTTCAGGAGGGAAAGAAACACACAGACACAATTAATCGTTGATCCCCAGAAAATATGGGAAAATATGGGACGTGGGGGGGAAGACAGAAACCCAGAAAATATGGGAAAATATGAGGGATCTTTGTATTTGTGTGTATTTATTTGTGTGTCCCAGGGCCCCTTCAGTTTAAATGTTCGACGCGTCAGTCGTTTTGCCGCTCGCGCTTCGGCGTGTCAGCGCACGTCAGGCGGACAGGCTCCGTTGCAGGTGGCGCCAGCGGCCTGCCGCACGGGCAGTCCACATCCACCTGCTCTCGGGAGCTGTGCCTCTTTCTCCTGCTCCCTCCCTCCTGTAAGTCTTGCTTCCCTCTTTCTCCTGCTTCCTCCCTCCTGTAAGTCTAAAGCGACGCTAAGATCGGGACATAATCGGATCGGGATAACTCGAAATCTCTGAGAATCGGCGGGTTTGGAGGATGTATTGGGCGCCGCGGCCGCTCCAGAGCGTTCCGGAACGCTCTGAGAGCGCTCCGGAACGCTCTGGAGCGATTTATCCCGATCCTAGCCCTGTTTTAAAGTCTTGTTTGCCCTTCTCGTCCTTCTTTGTTCCCTTTCTCGGTCTTGTTCGGTGTTGTGGCTATTCTGCACCAACCCTTCGCCGCAATGCCACCGCACGTGCGCTTTCTGGCAAGGGCGCCGGGCTGAAAGGGGCGTTAGCGCGCGCAGCATCCCAACAAGAACAGGTCGCCGGCGCGCGCAAGAGGGACGGGGGGCAGCGGTCTTCCGAGAAGGCAGGGTGCTTCGTTGACGCCCGTCTGCCTCTCGGTGAGCCTCTAATCAGGAGGGGGAAAACACACACAGACACAATTCATCGTCGCTTCCCCAGAAAATGCGGGAGCATCTGGGAAGCGGGGGGGAAGACGAAGACCCAGAAAATATGAGAAAAGATGGGGGACCCTGCGATTTGTGTCTATATGTCTTCGTGCGCCCCAGGGCCCCCCTTCCTCGCAGCCCTCCTCGGCAGCCCGCCGCCCCCCCGCGAAGGCCGCCCCCTCGCCCCGCCGCGTTCGGCACGCCGCCCTCGGAGGAAGCGGGAAAAAAAAGCACGGCCCGGATCTCTCGCACAGGGTCTGGGGCAGCTCGGCCGCCCGACGCGTCGCCCGCCCCGTGCGCGTGCGGGGCCGAGCGGCCCGGCGGGGCCGTGCCCCGGAGAGCAGGGGCCCCAAGGAAGGCAAGGCCCTGCAGACCAGGACTCTGCCTGAGGTGGGGCCCGTCCCTCTCTACATAGGGGGACCGCTCAAGAATAGGTAAAGCATGGTCTGGGGACGATTCTTGTTTTTGCCATTGTTTGATATTTCGAGGGCATTTCGGGGGGCATTCTTTTTTTTTCGTTCAAAGTTCGCCTGCAGGGGGACACGCCCGACCTGAGCCACGCGTGGCCGTTCCCTGGAGCGGGGCCCGGGAAGCCCAGACCTTGCAAGCCAGGACTTCGCCAGATATGGGGGGGGGGACCCGAGGGTGCTGATAGCGCCGCTCCCCGGACCTCTCGGGGGTTGCGTTCTGACCAGGATTTCGAGAGGGATCCAGCGGTGGCGACGAGGGCCTCCCGGGGGGCCCAAAGGGGGAAAACAAGTGGAGGACAGCGGTATGGGTACCTCTTGCTCCGTTGAAGATTCGGCGGGAAGCATCGGAGATTCAGCGGGAAGGAAGAGTGGAGAAGTTCTTTGTAAGGAAAGGGAATGGAGGAGGAGGTGGAGGCGGTGGAGGAGGAGGAGGAGGCAAGGGGGAGGAAGTGGAAGCAAGGGGAGAGTGGAGGAGCAGGGGGAGGATGGAGGCATGAGAGGCGGGAAGGAACGACGCCTGGACCATTCTTCGGCCCACGGTGGCAGTTGTTTTTT